CTGTGGTACTTGCTGGACCGGACTGGGACTGACTGGACCTTCCGCTGACTGACTGTGGACTCACCGCTATCCTACCGACGCTGTACTGCTGTTGCACTGCGGTTTAGTCCACCACTTGCCTCGCCACTTGACCACTTGCCCACTTGCCTATCTTCTAGAAGGTCTACAGCTAAGCTTCCAGAACTCACTAAGACTTCTACGCTATAGACCTACAGATTGAACTCCTACTGCCTTTGGACCTTCCCGCCGTCCTAAATTCGAGGTCCTCCGAGAACATTTCAGTCCAAATCGGGACTCTTACCTTTCTTGTCAAGTTCATAGGCTCTGACTATGTCGGGAGCGGTTTCCAGAAGTTCTGTTTTCGTGAACCAGCGGTCGTCTTCCAGTTCCTGATAAGCAAAATGGACCTTATATTGTTTCTGGGGACGACCTCTACCTCCTGTTCTGAACACATCCTCATCTACAATGCCGTCAATGTCATAACTTCCATCCATATCCGGGGGGATCATGGATCGTCTCGAAGGGAACTGTTGACTTGTGACACACGGCAGCAGCTTTGAAGCGTGAAACACAGGGTATGTGTGGAGGTGTGCTGGGATCTCTATGCTATAGGACGGCCCATCATCGCCGCCCTTGACTTCTAGAACCGGCCACGGTCCTCTATATGCAGGCAGTAACTTCTGCGAGATGTTTTCCTCAGGTGCAAACTCTTTAGCCTTGACCCAGACTAAGTCGCCTACCTGAAACTGCGATGGGCGACGGTGCTTATTAGCTTGTTCTATCATCTTATGCTGGGCCTTCCTGAGGTTTTCAACAACAGTTGCTAGTTCTTTCTCGTGCTGTATCGCAAACTCCCTGGTGCCGGGCGGTAATTTGTGAATCTGATCCCGGTTCAGTCCTTCGAATGGTCTGCGCGGTCTAAAGGACTTGTGCAACTCATTGGGAGTGCGACAGGTGGATAGATGCACGCTGTTGTTGTATGCACTAGCGACCTTGGGCAACATCTCATCCCAGTTGATCTGATCTGGTCTAATATACATGCGCAGAACTTGCTGTAGGATCTTGTTCATCTGTTATGTCTGACCGTTAGTCTCTGGGTGATGGCCGGACGACATTAGCAACTTAGATTCGTAGACTCTCATGAGTTCTTGCCAGTTCTGGCTGTTGAAACGACTATCTCTATCACTAACTATTGACAATGGGATTCCATTCTCACTTACCCAAAAGTCAAAAAACCTCTGTATAACTAAGTCCGTACGTGCCTCTGCAGGCAAAGGAACGGAAACTGCATATTTGCTAAAGCGGTCAACTACGACCATGACTTGGCTCTTACCATGTCTACTCTTGACTTGGGTGTCCATGAAGTCTATGGACACGGAGTCTCCCGGCTGATCCGGAATAGGCAAGGGTCTGAGAAGACCTAGGGGCGCGCGTGTAGTAGACTAATTTCTCTGGCACACTTTCCAACTGCTGACATATTCTATGCAGACGTTCTTCATCCCTGGCCAGGTATACGCACGCATCAGGTTGGCTAATGTCTTTTGCCAACCGAAATGCCCTTCAGTATCGTGGCATTCCCCTAAAATCAAACTGCGGATCTCTTCGCTGTTGGACGCACAGGCGGTCAAACACATTAGTCTTCTCAAACAGCAACCCGTCTGTAGTGCGGTAATCTGGTTCGGTCTCTGGGGCCTCTCTAACTCTCTTTAGGAGGTCGCTATAGATAGGGTCCTGTGCATATGCTTGCCTCACTTTCTCCTGCAGGTCTCTCCCTATATCCATATAGTGTACTACGGCTCCAAAGTAGTCTGATCTCCTACTCAGAGCATCTGCAACTACATTGTATTTGCCCTTTACTGGCTTGAGCTCAAAGTCGAATTGGTCTATCTCTGCGGCCCACCTAGTCAACTTAGGTGTCATCTTGGCCTGKGTCTTTAGCCAAMGAAGTGTCTCRTGGTCARAATACACTTTGAAGTGCCTCCCAAGCAGATAGTGCTTCCAATGGTCTAAAGCCTGCCTGAGAGCGTAGAGTTCTCTCTCGTACGTGGAGGTAGCGACCTTCTCACAGGGCATCCTCGCTGACATGAACTCTACGGGTCTATARCCATTGCCGTCGTCTTGCTGCAACACGGCGCCTATCCCATACTGACTTGCCTCCGTGATAACGACAAATGCCAAGGACGGATGTGCTACTTTGAGGAAGGGATATTCTATTAACGCGCGCTTTAACTTCTTGAGCGCAGGCGTACAGTCTTTGTCCCATTGCCAGATTGCCTCTTTCTTTAGCAGTGTGCGAAAGGGGGCGGCGATAGTGGAGAAGTTCCTCACGAACTTCCTATAGTAGTTAGCTAAGCCTAGGAACGACCGCAACTCTGTTAATGTGCGGGGCGTCGGCCAGTCTCTAATCGCCGCGATCTTACTGTCCTCTGGCTTAATGCCATCTCCGTCCAACACGTGGCCCAAGTACAAGACTTGCGTCTTGGCCCACTCGCACTTCTTCGCATTGATCTTGAAGTTAGCCTCTCTAAGCTTCTCCAAGACCTGCCTCAGATGACCCTGGTGCTCCTGGAGGGTCTTACTAAAGACTAGGATGTCATCTAAGTAGACTACCACAAATTTATCTAACCACGGTCTAACAGGTCATTCATACAACGCTGAAAAGTAGCTGGCGCGTTGGTCAGTCCAAAGGGCATCACTATAAACTCATAATGCCCATATCTAGTCCGGAATGCAGTCTTGTACTGATCATCAGGATGGACTTGTATCTGATGGTATCCGGACTTTAAGTCTATCTTAGAGAAATACTTACAACCTTGCACCCGATCTAAAAGATCGTCTATCCTGGGCAGCGGCTCAGCATTCTTCACTGTGATCGCATTCAAACCCCTATAGTCTATACACATACGAAGCTCTCCTTCCTTCTTGGGGACAAACAAAACTGGTGCTCCAAAAGGAGACGAACTGCGCCTGATCCAACCCTTCTCAAGGAGCCTTAGGAGTTCTTCTGCCAGGCTCTATCTCTATTCTGTGCTGGATGGGTCGCGACACTACTCCTGTCGGCGACTCGGTCAAATCCTTGAACTCCTCCAGCAGCTTGGCAATTGTTGGATCTGTGGAACTATCCTTTTCTTGGCCCTCAGTGACAGGTCTAACATACACTACAAAGACCTGGTCCTCTAACTGCTCCTTCTTCACTAATCGCGCGAACGCGGGAGCACTGAGACAGCAATGTGCCAAGGTGTTATCTACACCGGACACATGGAACAGGCGAGCAGTCTTAACTTCGCCTGACGGGCTAGGGAGCCTACACTCATGCTCTCTCAGATGGAGTGTGGCCCCTGCTGCCTCTCCCCAATCCATTCCTAACTTTACATCGAAAGGAAGGTCTTCTTGTACGAGGAGAGTCAAGGAATGGAGCACTTTTTTCACTTTTCCATTCTTCTCTAGGCGAAAGTACGCCTGGACTCCCTCTACGTAGTCCTCAACGCGCATCGTGCGGTTGTCTGCGAGGACACTGACTATGGGGTCTATTAGCTTCTGGACCTTTAGTCCTAGCCTCAGCTTCATCAGCGCCCTACGACTAATGTAACTACGGGTAGCCCCTGAGTCTATAAGGGCCCCTACTCTACTTCTGAACACCTTTACATCTACCAAAATCAGTTGTCCCTTACTCTCCCTTTTCATTTTGGCCCAGACTGGCATCCTCTTCTTTAACTCTTCTGCCACACCTGTGAGGGACGTGCCTAAAGAGATGCTAACACAAACAGTCTTTGGGCAGCTATCTAGGCACGGGCCTGCAACCTCTGCCATAGGCTCATGTGGGTTGGGAGTGTCCTGTTCGCGCGAGCTCACTTCTCCACATGGCCTGGAAGTAGGGGCAGTTGCGACCCCTAGTGGCGGCTGCCTTTTGACTGCTGAGCAGCCCAACGAGCCTGTCTATACTTTGGACAAAATTTGATAACGTGGGCCGGGTCACCACAGAATACGCACTGACCCATGTTCACGCGTTCCTGCCATAATCGTTGGTCCAAGCCCAAGTCTTCCTAGGGCCTGCCCTGCGGCAAGCCTGGGTGCCATCCTCCTTGAGGTGCCCTTCCACCTCCTCGTTGTGGGGACCGATTACCCTGGCGATTTAACGGGGGACCTTGACCCCTACCTCCCGCTTGGCGGTTTCCTTGTCCGCCAACCCCCTGTGCGCCCGGTCCTCGGCCTCCCATGGCCTGGCCCCTTTGGCCCTGGCCTCCTCCTCTACCTTGCGGCCCTCCGACCGCGACAGCAGCGGAAGACCTCCCCTGCCCTACACTACTGTACTCCTCCCCTAGGCCCCACTCAATCTGATCATATGGGACCTCTTCTGTACCACCCTCCTCTAATGTCAGGATCAAGTGATCCTTGGCCTTGACTTGGCCCGAGATGGTACAATCTTTCCACTTCTTCCCCTTCTCCAGGTCCTTATGCCAGAAAGTGGTAACTGGCATAGACTTCGACTCATACAGAACGACTTCTCTACTCAATGCATCGTAAGTGATGCCGGCCTGCTGAGATTTGTCAAAGAAATGCCCCCGTAGGGCCTCTGGAATGGCACGATAAAACAATTGGATCAACTGGGGCTCAGTGACCCCATGGTCCGGGACGGCTACCAAGTCGTCCATGGTACYYTTGAGTGCCTTGGCACTCCTCCACTGCCGTGAGTGGATCGTTTGCAGCTTGTCAGAGGCTTTAATGCCTCGCGTTGGGTCAGCGAAACGCTCCTTGAGGAGCTTGAGGAATTGGGAAAGAGGGGTGACTTTGGAACATGCAACCAAGTTGTTTTCACAACCGGCTGTACGGGCAAGAGACCTAGCGAAACTAGCTGCTTCGTCCTTGAGGGCCTGGAAGGCCACGAGGACTTGCTCCTGAGTTAGGATATGCTGCAAATAGATATAACTGTTGACACTGGCCTCCCAGTTGTCAAAGTTTTCCTCCTTGTTTCCCCCGTACGCGTCTGGAAACTTGAGCTTTACAGGCTCTTTGCGGGGTTTACCTTCGCCCTCTGCAACAGTTATGGCTTTGACACCCTCAATGGCGCCTTCGCAGTACTTCCCTACGTTGTCCCTCAACTGTTTCACTTCGCCCCCAATGTGGGTGACGATCTCGCGCGCAAACTCCCTAAATCCTGACCGCATGGCACTCAAYGCTACATCCTGACTCCAACTAGCCTRGCGCTCCTCCATCCARGCCTTGCTCRRCASTTYCAGGTACCCCWGTACCTTRTCCCACTTGGCCTTATCATCTGGCTGGGCCAATACCTCCGCTCTACATTCCTGCACCTTCGCTACTGCTGCGGTCATCTTATTCACTTCTTCTCTCCTCCTCCTCTTCTCCCTCTTCATTCTCAGCTTCCACTGCAACTTTTGCTCGTCTTCCCTCTCTCTTCGCTCCATAGGATCCGTCATGGTTGCTAGCTCAGCGGCCAATGCGGCCTTCTCATCCTCAGTCACATATGACTCCGCCTCTTCATCTTCCCCCAACGATAAGTTAGCAACCCACTCGCTGATCTTCTTCTCAATCTCAGCGGCTGTGTCCTTCTTCGTGCCACTGCTCCCTTCTCTGGTTTCAATCCTCATCCTTTCTTTTTCCTCTTCTGCTGCCGCTTCTTCTTCAGCAGCCTTCTCCTTCTTCTTCATCTCCTCCACTTCCTTCATCTTCGTCGCCCGCTCGTCTGCGATAGCCTTTAGCTTCGCCTGCTTCTCACGCTCTTTTCTCTCCTTATTCTCTTTCACTATGGCAGCCATCTTCGCTTGCCGCTCAAGGGTGTAGGGATTAGTCTCCTTCCCAGTGCGGGTCTCAACCATGGTGATAGGTGTACAACCAGGTTAGAGGTTCCAAACCTCACCACGTAGATGCCAACCCCTGACTAACAGACCTACTGACTCAATCTAAGACTTACAGAATCTTGACAGGGATCCTGTCAACTATGGCCTCTAGCCTAGACCTATGCTATGGCTGTCACTACTGAACCAGTGGCCGATCAGGAGGCATTTAAGGAGATCCCCCGTAACTCCTCAAGAATTCTTTAACGTCGCAGACAGGACGACGTGACCAGCTTGGTTCTGCCTGTGCTTTCAGCCCACAACTCAGCCTTTCCGGCCTACTGTGCCACACCGAGCAGCCCGCCGGTCTGTACCGGTCCTTGGGAGGGTTCGTATCCCCCAGGACAGTCGAGTCGTCAGACACAGATCATCAGCCTTACTTGGTCTGGTAGGGGAGTGGTTCAAACAGGCCCTCAACACTTAAAGACTGCCTGGTGTGTCAGCCCTAACTGCCGTTCAGGCCCACTGAGTCCTACCAACCGTTTCCAGCCGGTCAGCACCGGTCCTTGGGAGGGTTATGTCCCCCTGGAAAGTTGGATCAGCCACAGTCTTAGCCCTACAAGGTCAGACTAGGGTTTCGTCATGCAAGCCCTATCCTTCATCTACAGAGTACTACGACCTAGGACAGAAGAGACTCAATGCAGAAAGATAGACAGACTGACTTGACTCAGCAAGTACCAAGAGGGGTGTGCACATCCATAGGGCAAGGGGTAGGCTAAGGGCTTGGCGAGATGTTACCAACTTCAGCTTGGTCAAAGTCTTGGTCAACGGTCTTGGTCAACGCCAGTCAACTCTGCGGTCAACCCTCGGTCAACCCCCAGTCAACTCTGGTAGCGCCGGTCAACACCCCCAGTCAACCCTGTCGGTCAACTCCCCGGTCAGCTATGGCTGCCGGCTCTTCTCCCTCGCCAAATCCCTTCTTCTTCTTTACCTCCCTCGCCTCCTTTCCCCCGCTGTCTTCTTCCTTCTCTTTTTCTCTTTTTTTTTTTTTTTTTTGATCGGCCTCTGCTTCACCTCTCTGCTATGGCC